CAAGGGAGCTTTACCTTGTCTTCCTGCCTCTTATCCCATCCAGGCTACCGGGATTAGGATGGTGCTAAACCAGTCACTCAGATTTACTGCTTTAGTCATTACATTCCCTTAATCCCAGCATCACACATTCCAGATTCAGCTACCTCTGACCAAGAGTGAGGCTCTGAGGGGACATCCAGACCCAAACTATGACATTCCGCTCCAGGCCCCCCAAAGACTCACATACATTCTTCTATGTAAAAAACATTTAGTTCGTCTCTAAGAGATGCCAAAGTCCTACCAGTTTCACCATTTCTGAAAAGTCCAAGTCCAAAGCCTCCTCTGAGATTTAAGGCAAACTCTTACCTGCAAACCCCTGTACAAATGAAAAGAAAGTTAAACACTTCCAACATTCAGTGGCACAAGACAGACATTTCTATTCCAAAAGTTACAAACACAGGGATGCAAAGGAATAGGACCAAAGCAAGTCCAAAATCCAGCAGGGTAAACATTAAATCCCACAGTTCTACTTCCAGCATGCAAGGCAGTCTGTGGCAAGTTGTAACCTCCAAACGGCTTGGTTGGCTCTGCCCCTACATCATTTTGGGTAGTTGTAGCTCCCATTGCTGTAGCACCCATGGTGTCTCTCTTGGGCTGGCTCTGTTCCCTTCTTGCAGTTTTTCTCAGATGATCCACACTCCTGGTTTCTCCATACTTCTAGGGTTTACCATTGCACCTTTGGCTTCACACTCACAGTTTCACACACTGCCCTCTCGGGTACACTGCCTGGCCTCCCAGGCCTTCTTCTGAAATGTGGGTGGAAGCTTTCTGAACCCCATAAATCTTGCATTCTACATGCACCTAAAACCAGCGCTGCATGGATGATATCAGGTCTGCTGCCAGCTGGAGTAGTAGTAGTGAGTCTGCCCTGTCTCTTAGCTGTAGGGGTCCAGTGCCTATGAACCAAATCCAGAGAAACAGCTTCCTTGAGCTGCCATTTTGGAACAACTTCCCTAGGCCGCTGCCATTCTGGAACATGGTGCTCTGGGGCTTTCTTCTCAAAGCAAAATCTTTCATGCTTATAACTCTGAAATTGCCAAGGGTGGAGTCCTGCTGCTTCCTGTGATGCCCT